CGGCCGCTCCAACGGTCTACGCGCGCTCTGATTGGTCGGGGTTTTCGCTTAATATCTCCTTAACGAAGCCCCATCCGACATTTTTGCAAAGGAAATTGTTGTTCAGAATCGTCTCAGCTACCCCCCATTTCCGGCTCCTCCCCGACTTTTGGGACACTCTGTATAATAAAATATGATAAAGTATTGATGGTACATCATCGCATATAATAATATAGTACGTGATATAAGCGTTTATATAAATATCGTACATTGTTCTACTGTATTACATTACATCGTATCTTCGTATTTTCTCAGACTCGAGAAACTTGTTAACATTTCTACCGTTCCGCGTTACTTGGACGTAACGATCGCATCAAAGTTGGCGAGTCGCGTAACGAGCACGGCGTGGTAAAGTTTCGAGCGAAGCCTGCCGGCGTAGCATTATTACGAAAATGCAATAACAACCTAAACACGTCGTCTACGAGCCCGGGACCGCGATTTATTTATAGGCCAGGATAATACATTCTCCCGTCCCATACGTACGTGTATATATGTGCATATAGGGTTTCAAGTTTATCAGGCGTGCACGGGTACGAAACGCGTTTATAGTTCGTAAACGGATTTAGTTTCTCTCACGCGCTTTCCCGGCGATGATTGTTATTAAAAATATCCGAGGCATCGATTTATCGACGTTTCCGCCGTGAAACGGTATTCCCCGACAGGACCTCGAGATCTTTTTTATTATTAGACGGTTATTATCAACCGAATCGTGTTTACTTCAAGGTCGACACGATAAACGAGGTCGTCAATTACTCGGGTCACGCGTTTTTCGCTTTGGTAAATAAATGTTACGACGAACCACAAAATATCATAATGCTGTATCATCATATATCGGCATAGCTCGTAATCTATCACTAAATGTTACCATATATTAACGTCAGTGATAGGCAAAATCCTAGGTTTCGAACAGCTTTTGAACATTTTCCAGAGATAGAAACGAGACAAACGCATTGGCAAACTTCAGATTTTTCGAAGCCTTGGGTTTTGCCCATCTCTGATTAACGTACACCATCATACATCATCAAATGTCATCACCGCCATATTTTATTTCACGATCAGAGATACGGTGGGTGTAGAAAGTATTCGTACACCGATCAATTTCCAAAAAAAAAACTATGTAAAATTGTAATTTATTCACTTATTTTTTATAAACAACGACATTCTACATATTCTCATTTATGTGAGTTACGAAATTAACAAGAAAGAAACAATTAATCGATAGAAATATTGAAACAATAAGTATTCGCACAACTGTTTAATTTTTAAAACTTCGTTAAAAAAAAAAAAAGAAATTTACATTAATTTACAAGTATATAATACTTCCTTCGTGGGATTTCCGTTTTGATTTTATAATTATTGCAACTCTTCTAAGCATTAAATTATCTAAATTATTAGTTACTCGAAGTGGAATCTTTTTCCATTCCTCTATTGGAGCCATTTTTAAAAGTACTTTACTGGAAATTTGATGTTTTCTAATTCGCACGGAGCAATAAACTAATGTGTTTACATTACAAACTTTACTGTAAATGGTTCGTCATAAGAATCGTCCAAATACTTATTGCTTCTATACTTTTACCCACTTTTCGCATTTTTTTATTAATTTCCTAAATTACATTAACTAGTAAATGTTTTTTGGACTATATCTATCTTAGAGACTTCCGAGAATACGTAAAATATCCTTGATTACAAAAAAAAAAGAAGTTAAGAAACTACAATTTCACAGAAAAGTTTTTTGGGTAATTGATCGGTGTACGAATACAGTCTACACGTACTGTACATTTCAATCGAAAGGAAATCAGTCAATGATTCTCAATGGAATGAACATGAGTGGGCTTACCTTCGACGGTGAGCTTGCTTCCGGAACAGGAGATGTGCAATTCTATTCGACCACGTCTCTCCGTGTGGTCGCAGCCGCATAGATTCGGGACGCTCTCCTCGCATCGTTTGTGTACGTTCATGTCGCATGCTACGTCATTAGATCAGGATCGATTATCATCGTCGTCTCGACGTTCGCCCGGCGTTCAGCGTTTAGCAGCCAGACAGGCAGCCTTATTTAGCTGCCACTTTTCTCTTTCAATGTCATGTATCGAGCAGCGGGGGTGGGTGCAAGACAGGCGCGGTACTTTACGCATTTTCGTTCGTTTATCGAAACCGCAGCTGCCGAGAGACCGTCGCGTTCCATCGTTCGATACCGATTCTTTTGCAAACGAATCATTCCGAAACAACGTTTCCAATTAAACATGAATTCGATGGAATTTATAATGAACTAATTACATTTATATCGATTCAATTATATCTATAATGACTCGCGCGTACTTGTGTATCGATTTAATTAAATTTATATTAAACTCGATTGCTATCAATTAGGTTGTACCAATTAGCATATATCTTTTGGGCGTTTTGAGAATAAAGTCGAGACAAACTCTGGCTGCTGCAGTCGGAAGTGCATACGCGCGAGACTGAAAACGAATAACCGGTCGAAAACCATGCTTCGGCGTGTCAAGGGTTCGTGCTTAAATCACAGAACAATGAAATTTGCCAAAATTAGGGAAACGTCGACCATTCGAGGGAGCTGTTCGCTCGAAAAAACGTCTCATGGTCAGAACTACGATACTTGTGTTATTCCTAAAAATAGAAAAATTTGATCGGTCGACGATGCTTCCTTAATTTTCACACAGGGGCCCTGCAAGCTGCCCAACCAAAGATTATGGTGACAGACTGCGAATATTATGCAATCGTGAAACATGCTAATATGACGAATGTAACATGTAGAATATATTTCACAAATTAAGATAATAGTATTAATATTTCGTAGGTGTGTATAATCTAGATTCGTTTGGTATATGTTTTTCGTAATAAAATACACCATAACTGCATAAACTCCGCAGGTTGTTTGATGATATTTGGAGAGTTGAATCTATAGGTCAAACGATGACTTCTAAAATGGAAAGACCATCTAGTTATGGAGCAAAAGCCAATCCCATTGATAGCCTTTAAGACATTTGTCACAATGAGTTTTTAAGATTAACCCCTTCCCGTACCATTTAACTCGACGAAACTAGGGCCGGAAACTGATGTTTATGTTTGACCCGACTATTTGTTTACGAGTCTGGATCGTGATGTTTATGTTTGGACCACAATCTTCATCGCGAGTTAGACTCGTCAAAGTACGACAAGGGGTTAAGAATTACATATACATATTAGAAACCATTGTCCATTCCCTCCCAAAACTTTAATAAAAATTAACGTAACTCTAGACGCTCTTATTCCAAACCTCAATTGTTCATGAACAAAAGAACAATCTATCGTAACGAAATATTCCGTAGAATGTCATTATTCGACCCCGAAATTGACCCTTCCAAATATCATCGAAATCTTTTAAGAGGAGCTTCCTGGGGGCCTCCAATTGTTAATCACGAAAGATGGACTACATGGCGATGCAATTATAACAAACTACGACCAATGATCGTCGAACGAAATTTGTAATCGATTGAAAATCACCAGGAAATTATAAAATATATAATCTGACCGTGCGTACGGGGAACACAGCTATAAGAAGTGAAGAAAGAGTATTGCGAAAAGGGGGTACCATCGAACAGTGACTCCCAGGCACGCGACTGTATATACATATACACGCGCGCACACACACGCGCGCGCGCGCGCACACACACACACACACACGTACACATACTAACAATCAAATCTAACGTTGCAGATGATACGAATAATTCGTCGCACGCAGGTAACGGTAAACTTGTAAACAGTGTGCAATTAAAAAGTTCGGTTAACGGGCAAAGGGGGTCGTGGCGGTGGTAGAAAAAGTTTAATCGCCAAACGAGTGGAGAGCGGATCTACGTGTACGATAATCATTACCAGCATGCACGGCACAACAATCACTTTTATTACATGTACAAATTCTAAACTGTACATCGCTGGGAACGTGTATTATACACAACGTTAAAGAAACAAGAGAAATACATTGTATATATATATGTGCATCTACACGTATATACGGCGAATGTAATATGACTTCTATATATATATGTATATATATATATATATATATATAGATATCTATAGGTGTGTCTGTGTGTGTGTGTTATATTTAAGAGCGCGAACTGCAGCGAATGCATACACTAGCTAGCGAATGTACGCGTTTCACTAAGGATTTTAACGAAAACTAATTGAAATCTAATCAATACCTGACTCACTAGGAAATGTATACATTGACCAAGTTCACGCTTTCATTGTAACGTGCGAGGGGCTGAGAATCAAAGTCTGGCGTTCATTCGAATAAAAATCGATTGCTAAACGAGCAAATGATTTTGCGAGCGATGTGAAAACAATTTACGGGTGCAATTGTTTACGAACGAGTGCTACCAAAACGGGCGCCGCTTATTCGTCACATTTATTCATCCCTGAGATCTTTGGCGTAACCCGGGAAATCTTCTTGGAATATTCATTCGTTATTCGAAAGAAAATTTGGTCAAATTTTGCTAAATAATCACGATTAGTGTAAAATAAAAAAATAAAAAACGGTCTAAAAATCTGAGCTACATCCTTACCTCGCACGTGAACAAGAAGGAATGGGAAATCGTGGCGAGCTCAATTTCTTATTTTTATCGTAGCGATACTAATATGTTATTGCGTTGTGATTTTCGGCCCCCCCCCCCCCCCCTCGTGTATGCGGAAAAGGATATAGGGCTCCTGGTTGTGCAGTAGAATATGACAATAGCAACGGTGAGTAATAAGCGGGGAGCGAATAGGCGAGAAAACGAAGTGACAACAATAGAGGGGGAGTAGTGAGTAACCTTTCTCCTTCGAAACGTGGTTTGCAGCGTTTACCCATTCACCGGCGACCATCGAACCAAACAACGAGCTAGCGTTTTCTCCCACAAAATGGCAAGCCAACGACTAAGTAGCAAGATCTATTCTCAATCGAAGGTAAAATCGCACCGACTTTTATTCGTCGATCGAAATGATATGCATATTGATTTTGTAACGTATACGAACTTATATGAAATTGTACAAAATGTTTACATATATTTTATATGTTTCATATAATTTCATATAAAATGTTAATTACGTTAAAAGAATATGTATATATATATATATATATATATATATATATATATATATATATATATGTATATACATATATATATGTATATACATATTCTTTTATACATATATACATATATACATTTTATACATATATACATATATACATTTTATACATACTCTTTTATACATATATATATATTTTATACAATATATATAATTTTATATCAAATGAAATATTAGGTTGTCCGAAAAGTTTCTTTCGCTTTATTAATAAGTAATACATGCACGATAGTTTGTTTTATGTTACATTACTGAATTGTGCACGATTCATTTTGCTCCATTACTGCTACAACATGAATATCTATGAAATTCGATTGTTTATTTATATAAACACGATCACGTAAAATAATTGAGTGCAACTCGCGAAAGAAACTTTCGTAACAACCTGATAGTTACGTAAGTCCTTGTACACATTTTCCACAACTGCGTGAAATTGCTAACATAGTCGATCAAACGAGAATATAATTTAAAAAAAGCTATCGAAAACTAAGAGTACTCGTGAATTTTACCTCGAGAGGTGAAACAATAGACGGCGGAAAAGTGCATAGCAAAGCGAAAGAAGAGAAAAGAGGTATACAGTGGCACCCTCGTAACAACAGGGGAAACTTTTAATATACGTTCTCTCGATCCATAAAAAGAATTCGATGCGATTATATCATCGACCGAATAGTCTTGCCACGCACAGTAAGGGAAAGGGAACGTGTGCAAGAAATGTAGTAAAAAATTGCAGAGGTGTACGTGGGCACTTCAGGGGCTCGCGTCGATGAAACGACGTCGTTGGAATCCCTTTTAGTTCGTCGGAGGATAACGTACCTTGCCGTCGGTGTTGAAGGTGATTTCCGTTATCGCGCGTGTGCGTACGTTGTTTCGCGCGAAGTCCGTAATAACGTGAATTGTTGAGAGGAAAGTAAAGAGATTCGGGAGGGTCGTTTGGAACGTTCCGAAGAAGATGGAACGCTTGAAAAGAATCGAGTGGCTTGGTAGAGTTCCAACGAAATAGTAAACCTGGTGACATGAGATCCTTTGATCGTTCTTGGTGACTGGCCCACTCTTCAGTGAACGAACTGCTCAGATTCTTCTTTTTTTTTTTTAGATGTAGAGGTATGAAGGATGTATCAGGCAAAGTTTGATGGTTTTTAGGCATCCTATGGTTTCTAATTAACTATTACTTCTGTTGATTCTTGTTTTATTGGAAAGTGTGCTAGGTTAATCAATGATTTACCCTCAGGGGCTGTAGCTATATTCGATTATAGCTACAGTATGGATTTAGCAATCCCGAGGTACCCGAGCTACATAGAAAGGCCAGTTGGCACCCAACTGGCTACTACACGCAATGGGTTGATGAGCCTTTTCTAACCAATACTTTCTTTCTCGTATTAAAAAGCTATTTTTAAGTTTAATTGCCGCAGAATTACTAGCAGAGTGTTGTCATTCCATATCGATTTGCGCGACTTGTTGCGTCTAGGTTGGATATTTCAGAAGGTTAACGTCGCTCCGTCGTGCGATCAGTAAGTGACACTGCGCAATTGTGTCGCGCAATCATCGAGTATCGTAAGGTGCGTGTTCACGAGATATTAACTCGCGATTTTATTTTGTCGTGACAGTGAATGCGGCAATTGTAACCATGAGAATTGATAGTCGCGTTGTCACGATGTTTTAATTAGTGTTACGACTCGGATAGTTAGAAAGCCGACGAGGCTTCGTTTCTGCCGACATTTTTATGGGAATGTTACGAGCCGTGCACGATGAAAACTACGTAATATCGTCGAATGAAAATAAGAAATATTTGAAATAATTTATTCGATACAGTTTGAAAATGAAAATAATTTTATTTCGAAAACGATCGCAAGTGTAAAGATATCAATTAAATTCCTCCGCGATATGCGTGCCCAGAAGGTATCTCGTTAGCGAATCACTCGTCCCTACGAAGAACTCATGTCACCAGGTGTATAGTTACCAAGACAAAGTTGCATGCTCTGTCTTGAATTGCTGACAGAGTTGAATCGCAATCGTTTCGTCGGCTGAAAGCGTTTTCTTCGAGATCAGCAGCTGGAAGAGTGCGCAGACAGCAACGCCCGCGCAAGACGAAGGGATGAAGGATGAGACAGGGAGGAAAAGCTCCAATCGTGGGATGTCTTTCTTTCGAGTGCAGCAGGGTGAACGATTACGAACTTAGAAGGTTGTACAATGCCGACGGAGAAGATCAAAGAAGAAGAACAAAACGACCAGGGAAAACGCGAAACGTCTTGCACGATAAGCAGCTCGCCTTTCTCCGGTTGGAAACGCGCGATGTCGCCTAACCACCGATTAAATGCCGCATAACTCGACTTTATTCGAGAATGAAACCTCTCAGCGAGGAACGAGTCATGATTCTCGGCTCGAAACCCCATAAAGTCCTCTTTATAGCCGCCTGGTGGACGCATTCCTACCGATTACGGGACATGGGCGTTACTTCCAATGGTCGATTTAGTCGATGAATGTTGCAACTCGAGGAACAGCGTTGATAGTCGTTCGTAAGGTGTTTAGCGAGGTTAGGGACGTTTTGAATGTGGGACGATGGTCGAAAACGGCTACTTTGGTACTCGTCGAGAAAGGAAGCGTTTTACTTGGCTAAACGTAGATTTTTAAGCAAGCTCGCACTAGGAAGTTGAGTTTAAAGATTTGTTTTGAACACTGGAACACGTTGATCGCATACGGAACACGTAGTTAGACAGAGGAAAGAATTCCAAATCAAAAAGTCCTGAGCGTTTTTTCTACACAAACTCTCCTTTATTTGTTATGAATTTTTTAATGATGACCAATCAACGCATGCCTATCGTGGAAAGACAAGTAGACAGTAGAGCGGAATGAGTCCTCCAATACCCCACCCTTCTCAAGATAGGCGCACGCTGATTGGTGAACATTCAATAATTTGTAACCAATAAAGAGAATTCGGATCGAAAAATGCCACAGGACTTTTCGATTTTTCGATTGGATTGCGTACGTCATACGCAATCATTCTGTGATGGCCTGTATATAATGCTTTATTTTTCTATACTAACTACTTTTGCACTATTTTCTAATTTTCCATTTGAAAACATTTTTCCTTTACGAGTACCAAGTATATTCAAACCGTTGTTTTCTCGTAGGAAACTTAACTGCTCGCGCACGACTAGATCGAATCTAACCACCCGTGCAAATTTCACAGCTCCTTTAAAATGGCGAATCAAACATTTAAAGGCCGGCAAAACTTTACGTTCGTCGCAAAATTCATTCTTTCCGTGCCTAAACAGCAGCTGGAAGTTTCCCCGTTCACGGGCTAAGTTTGCCAAGGGATATGGCTGGACTTACGCATGAACGCGTTTCCCAATCTCTGCTTTACTGCAGCTAATTACGTGGAACTAAGGAGTATCGGAAAATCGTTCGGTGTTCACGAAAGCATCGGGGCATGACGAGCATAAAATTGAAGAACGGTCGGGGCTAGTACTGGGGTTGCGCGTCTCGTGGATCGCGTTCGCGAAATGGTCTCGGGTCTACCTGGATTCGAGACGGACACTGTTCGATCTCTTCAACGTCTGGACGTGAAAAATGTCAACGAGAAAATGTCAAAAAAAAAAAAAAAAAAAAAAAAAAAAACACGTAGAAATCGAGGAATTCGTTAAATAGTTGCGCGCTCTCGAATCCAAACTGACCAGCGCGAGCTACCTACTCCGATGAAGCTACGTGAAGGTAATCGCGTGCGAGATATCTAGCCGTTTTGGTGAAGAGATGTATTGCGAATTGAGTTTTTTTGTTTGTATGTCTTTTTTTTTTAATTTCTTTTTTTTTTTTAATATTTGTTAACTACCTGAACACTTAAGTCCCTGATGCGCGATACCGTGAAGCATCGAGCCGCAGTGGTCGCAGAAGGTCGGCGTCAGGTACGTGAAAACCTCCCATTTGTGTGCGGTGCTCATCTGGGAACAAGAAACAGGGGCCCAGGGAAGCCCGGTCCTTCATTGTGGTGTGATCCTATGACAAAGATCGAGGGAGAGAAAGAGAGACAGACAGAGAGAGAGAGAGAGAGAGAGAGAGAGAGAGAGAAAAATGGCGATACGCCGATCGATATGCAATGAGTACTCTCCTTCGTTTTGCGCGACACGTTTCGGTAGCTCCGACGAAAGCGAGCTAGTTTATTTTTTGTTTTCGATAACTCGACACCGCGATTACGATGCGTATGCGTCCTGTTACGCTTGCGACGTGGATCGAAGACAGACGGTCAAGTCGGTGCACGCAGAGATCGAGAAGAACCGATCCCAAGAATGACGGAACCGCAGCCTCGACTTCCGTTCACCAGCGAGACATGGACTAAGGCGCGTACTATCTCCTTTCCGTCGACTAAACTGTTTAGTGAATTTATTAATTTATTAATTTAAAGGGATTCTAGTCCTAGGAATAGTTTTATGGCGAGGCTGATCAACTTGGGTGTAATGAAAATTGAGCCTGTTATTTTGTTCAGTATATCTTTATGAAAGCGTTGTAGATAGATTTTGCTAGTGTTTCCCTGATGAAGATTTCGTTAAGATAGAATGAAAAACACGATCAAGTTTATTTTTAAGCATCGTTAACAATATGTTGGTTGTTGAATGCAGAAGTAGTCTAACAAGTATACTATTCCCCATGATCTATATCGCGTCGACTGTACTGTCCCGCAACGGAAAGTTGTTACCATGCGCCCAATCTCGATCCGAAACGATCGACGATGGTTAGAAAGCGAAAGGACACCAGTGAAAGGAAATACGTGGGGGGCAGGAACAAGAACGAAATTCTTTGGCAAATTGCTTTTGGACGGCTTCCTCCGGCCGGGAATCGCAATTATTTCCGTTTAAGCAGCTCGCCCAACGAATCGTGTCCGGGGGTAAATGTCAGAGACGTTTCTCAAGAATAAAAAGGTGTTCCAGTTGGTCGGGTTGAACGGAAGGAAATAATCTTCTCCCGCGGAGCAAATCCGTTTGCCCCGCGTCGAAGGACCAAGACAGCGTGGCATCGTTACGCCGGTCGCCTCCGAAGAGCACGGCGTCGTTTTCTCGTACGCCTATGGAGTCGCTCTCGTATCTTGTAATTGAATTCGATACTCGGCCGGTCTCGAGACTCTTTCTTGAGGTTCCTTTTTGTCGACGCACAACGGGAGGAACGAAAAGAAAGCGAGTCGGCGCGATAGAGAGAGGCAGAGGCCGAGGAAAAGGAGACTCTAACGCGCTCCTTGCCTCTCAATTTTCCAGCCTTTTCTCCCAGGTCCGCGGACTCGAGCGTTTAATTAATTTCTACCGCACTCTTTTTACAACCCGATGCGCCCTCGCCATCCCCGCCGCGCGCGACCTCACTGTCCGCTCCGCCTCTCTCTACGCCAACGCTCGCGGCGTCGCCGTAAGGTGTTCCATCTCGGCGTCCTGCGGCCCTAACTTTTCTTCCACGCGACGGAACTATTACCGCGACCGCGTCTCCGTGGTTCTGGCTCGTTCGCGTGGCGCCTGATGAAACAGACGCGGGGGACGAAGACAATCTTTTGACGGACGAGTCTCTCGTCTCTTGCTCCCCCGGGGACTCGTGATTCGCGCTTGACGACTCGCGTTGGAACGCATAGGGAAAATTCCCGGAAAATTGAAACGAAATCGAGGCCTTGATGTTTGTTTATCTTGAGAGTGGTAACGTATTAGGCGTAGAAATTAATTCTGTGCCCTTACATTTAAGCATTCATAAGTTTAGCTTCAGGAGAAATATTTAATCGTCATTTTGTTATTGTACAGGATGTTTCACAAGTGTACTTGATAAAATTACAGTAATCGTAGAAGAATAACGATAAGTACAATTTGATGGCTAATAAAGTTCGTGTAGATGCATTGCAAAGACCATCGGGTCAAGACTTGAGGTTGAAACTATATCTGTTTAAACGAGAATTAAAAATAATTAAATATAGAGGAACAGAATTAATTTCTGCATCGGAAGAATCTTGTCGACCGATTAATAATACTTTCTTTGGAATACAACGATAAACACGCAAAAATCTATATTCGATATAGGTCTCGATTAATGGTTCTTTGTTGAATGAATAAATGTAAACAGAACTGAGTATAATTTTGTTTAAATTATCCGGGGATAACTGTTTGCCAAACAATATAGTCAAAAAAATTATTCAAAAAGTCCATTAAAATAAAAAAGAAGATAAGAATGATCTTGCACTCAAAATGATTATTCTTTTGAAAAGTATCACAAAATATAGAATCATTCTTTTTCGATGATACATCAAGTTTCACTGACACGATAACAAAATTTGTTCCCTTTCGATACAAATGTATAATATCAATACATTCTATCAGTACGACTGCAGTAAATATTAAAAATGAAGAATACATTTACAAGACGGTATATTTGTAGACTTTTGACCGTATTTTTAGACAAAATTCCCTATGCTGTCGTTCGGATCTCGGATGAGCGGATAAAACTGTCTACGAGAGAAAAAAAATTGCTCGTGCGAAATTTTATAGTCGACTAAGCATACGAATATGCCCTTCAACCAATTTCTACTTGCCACGCGTTAATTGGTAGCCCTCAAAATAGAAAAAAAGTTACATTAGAAAATTACATACCTGCCCGTTATCGACCCTATAATAATAATAGGTGATTCAAAAATCTCAATAAGAATGACTTCTTTATTTTACAGAGCTAACAATCGACCTATGATAAATCCAAATCGATTTAAGGATACTTTTCATATGCTTATGTGCCTATACCAGTGTTTCTCAAACGTCAAACCTCCTCAACCCCCTCCCCTCTCTCTATCTATCTATCTTTGAGGAACGAAGTATTTTGGAGGACCGTTTACAGTGGAATTATACACATTAATTAATTTCATGATATATTACACTTTTAAATACGATAGGTTCGATGCTTCCAACTACATTCTTTACTGTAAATATTTACATGAACAAACTCTATACATGTATTATTATCATTATAAATATATACATGTGTAAAGTTTATTCGTGTACATAGTTGTAGTGAAAAATTTATTTGGAACTATTAAACCTATCATTTAATCTAGCCAAATTTCTGTAATAAATATAGAGTATACCAATACTTATGGAACTGACTCTATATATATGTTTATATTTATCAGTTGCGAGTTTACTCTGGCTATACCCGCTATAATACACTAATTAACTACTTATTGTCCTAGCAACTCGTCATGGACATCTCAGAGGACTGGGGGGCCACCGTTTGAGAAACATTGGTCTGCACCATTTATAAAGTGTCGCGCGGGACTTAAACGGGTAGATCTTGAAACACTTGTAAAGCGTCGGTTTACTTACTTACGCGAATGAGAACGCGTCGGAATGATCGCACGCGTGCGCTGCAGAACCGGTTGCGGTGACACTTGACCAGAGATGGACAAAATTCTTATCTAGACGAAAGTTTCGAGTAACAACTAAGGTGTAAGCATAATTAGGTGAATATTTAGTGTAAGACTGTGGATTTTATGCATTTATGGTACAAAGTAACATAGTAAATACATGCTAAACGTAACTAAAAGGTATGTGCGCTTATGCAAAATGAAATAACAATATTATTATATAAACTGTAGAATATATATTCAACATACGTTATGTATATTTTTTGTATGTTTTTCGTACAACTGCACGTCATAAATGCATAAAATCTTTAATCCAGTAATAATTCAAAGTTTGAGACTGACAAACAGTTATCGTTATTTTGTACTCGCGAGTTTTTTTTTTTTTATTCTTACTTTTTCACGACTACAAATTTACTTCTACGGTCGAACGAACATCGCGATTAAACTGATCGATGATACAATGGTTTCATTCTCTACGTAGAATTCGGTGACAATTTTGCCCATCTCCGTACTCGACATAAAGTAAACAAAAATTGTAAGTGCCGTGCAGGACATATTCGACGATAAACACGTAGAAGCGGTGGGAACACAGATTATTAACACGGACAAATCGTACAAAGAAAGCAGAAGAGCTATTTACAATTCGGAAGGGTCGACAGACGAACGCTTCCTGCTTTTGAAGCCTTTCCTTGCTATCCTCTAATCTAGTCGGTATCTTCGTGCTTTTATCAGCTAAATCCTGTGTCTATCAAAAATATATTCCTTCGAAGTTCGTTACGTACAGAGCCTTTAACGCTTTGCGCAGTAAATTTCACACGATAAACATGATCAAATGGTATATAGGATGTAAAAATATCAAGGCCAGGCGAAAATTAACGACCGTACTATTTCGGTAAGAAATTCAGAACTTACAGGAGCATACTATATAAAACTGGCTGAAACATGACGTAAGTGTACACGATGTAACAAAATTAATGATCACGACTCTCAGGGATAGATGTACACATTCGAATCGGTAGATATTAATTTCTTGACACCGTTTGCGTCGTGTACTGCTCAAAGGGTTAACAGGCGCCCCATGTGTTCGACTGAATATTTTTTTTAAACGCTCTGCTACGTTCATTCTTGTCGTGAAATTTTGGTGACCGTTGAGACGGCATCGTGAAAAATAAACGGAAAGAGAATCAAGCTTCGTCATCCAGAGGCCAAGCTAGTAGGTACTCGTGTATGTATGTACACAGTTGCGCGACACACCAACGAAAAATATGTTTTGTGCACACACGGTATATAGAAGGTGAAATAGAAACAGAGGTCAGTTGTACGAGTAGGACAACGTCTCACGCGCACAGAAGCAAACTCCAGAGAAGAGACAAAGAATGGAGAAAGTGATGATAAGAAATAAACGAGACGCGTCCAAGCGATGGACATTCGACGACAAATATTCCACTGTCCTTCGGAATACATGAAAATTTATTTTCGAATACTGAATATAGCGTATACGTATTTTTTAAACGTTCCTTAATGGACATCCTGGTGAGCATATTTTTCTCTCAAGGAGAAGAGAAAAGTTAATTACAAAAAAATATGGTTTAGTCTCGGTGCTATTACAATTAATGCTTGCCGGTTGAAGAAGCAAAGTCAAAAAAGAAAAACGGAGAAGCTCTGTGATTGAAAGAGTTCTTAAATTAATTTCTCATCTTTTTACCGCTGGGAAATAAAAATCATGCGATAGAAATTGGAAACGGTTGGCAACGACGGATTTCCATCGCTAGACTCGTCAACGCTGTTTCAAGGGAGGAGAAAAGGGAGGAGGGCTCAAGAGAGATCAAGTTTATTCCGTTTTCTCAGAAATGAGTTAGGCGACGTTTCTTTTTTTTTTTTTTTTTAACGCTGCGTGAAAACTTATTTCAATGTTTCTTAACCTGTTTAACTTTGAAATTGGTTAAAAGATAATTCTTAACCTCTATAAACCCCAGCTGTGCATTCGATGCCACAGAGGACTTCGAATTTATTTTCCAATATAGTTACTTTCTTAGAATGCAAAATACCACATATCCACGAAGTGAATTCTTTTTAAGAGTTTTTCGTCACAATAGCGATATCTGACTTATCTTTAAAGTGACTAGATTATTAATAACGTATTTACTGCAATTTTTCGTGAAAATTTACCAAAGTGAAGTGAAATTACATCCGAAAATGTTAAATAAATATACAAAGCTTGTCCTAACATTAAAATAAGTTTGATTAATAACAATTTTTACTCGAGATTAGTTCTAGTAATTTGAAAACTTATATAGAACAAATATTAACAGATTTCACAGAGTACGGCGGTTAAGAATCATTGACACTGACCTATTCAGTCGAGAAACCCATGATACGCAATTGTAAACAAAACGTTCGTCCAATTCCGACTTGAACTTGCTCCTCCCCCTGGTTCTCTGTCCCAGTCATCGTCCCTTTCTCATTTTCTTCCTTCACCTTCGGAAGAAGTATGTAAACAGATGCACGTTCCTGTGTGAACATAGAAATTGTGCGTGTGTGTGTGGTCTCCGTCTCTATGCATGTCAACAATGCGTAAGTATATCGATATACACACGAAAAATATGTGCACACGCATTGGTAGACACAACCAGCGACCTCTGTTCAACAGTGAACGAGGATCAGAGCGAGAAAGCCTCTCACGGACCATGTATACATATGTACTCGATGCAAGCACCATCACAGGAATGTGTTGCAGTAAACGAAAGAACAAGAAGAATCGCATTTCGATCGCTCTCCTCTTGTATTCCCAGCAAAAGCGACATTTTCTGTCGCTGGTGTTACCGGTGAGAGACGATCCGATAACTTTTATGGCGCCCAGGCGAAACTCGAAAGTACAATGGAGGTTAGACTCTCGACGGGATGGACTTTAACCCTTTGCGCTCGTGGGAGCACTCAGACGCGTTTATCCCTACTGGTACAGTTTCAGAACTGAGAGTTGGCTTACATTTCGACTCACTTCTACACGTGTTTAATATTTCTTTTTTACACGTTCTACAAGATTTACATCGTCGTTTTTTACATTTCGAGAAGAGAAATATTCTTTATTAGATGTGTTACGAACACGAAGACTGTATAAGGAGTTCCAACTGTGTAGTGTAAAAGTGTTATCGAAATCCCAAGCTTTAAGTTATGAATATTTCTACCACTCGCGGCGCTAGACTACGATATACATATATATATATATATGTCATATGTGTACGTATTATTATATATATATATACAGGGTGGTCCATATATATATATATATAATATATGATATATATACAGGGTGGTCCGCCTAAGTAAAGCCACCTAAATATCTCCTCTAATTGTGGAGGTACAAAAAATATTTTGTATGCTATTTGAATGGTTTGAAAAAACCATTCTATTACGAAAGATTTCTTTTTTCTAGGGTAATTTTTTTTGGAGTTTCGCTCGGTACAATCGAACAGCTTGCCTTAAACACTGATCACTTTTACCATAATCTGACGAACTGTTTGAAAATGATCAGATTTCTGCGGTGTCAGAAGTCATTTGTAGCGTAAACGTGTTTATTTACTCTTACAGATTCCCGAACGACGTCTTCGTCTGTAAAGTCTCGACAGGCAACAATTTTTCGTTACCATTTAATTTTTGAACTCAAAGGTCATTTCAAGGTCATGTAATGTACACATATCTGAACGTATCTTTGCATCAGCTACACGATGCGATAAAAAAAATTAAACATTTATACGCGAAAAGACATCGATAACCTTGTAAATTCCGAAAAAAATTAACCTAGAAAAAAGAAACCCTTGAATATAAATGAATCTGGAATAGAATGGTTTTTTCAAACCATTCAAACAGCATAACAAATATTTTTTTGTACCCTCACAATTAGAGGAGATATTTAGGTGGACCACCCTGTATATGATAATACATACACATATGACATATATACAGGGTGTCCCAAAAATATTGTAACACATTGAAAGAGGTGGTTCGGGAGGTGATTTGAAACAACTTTTTCCTTAGCGAAAATGTTGTCCGAGGCTCCGTTGAGGAGATATTAACAAAAAACCCCGACCAATCAGAGCGCGCGTATACCGTTGGAGCGCCCGCGGGAGCGAAGGCTACGAGCTAAGCGGCCGCGCCCAATGTCCTTCGATGCACGTCGAGTCGCTTGTTCGCGCACAAGCGCGACCGCTCAGCGCGTAGCCTTCGCTACCGCGGCCGTTCCAACGGCATACGCGCACTCTGATTGGTCGACGTTTTCTGTTAATATCTCCTCAACGGAGCCTCGGACAACATTTTCGCTAAGGAAAAAGTTGTTTCAAATCACCTCCCGAACCACCTCTTTCAATGTGTTACAATATTTTTGGGACACCCTGTATATCGTAGTCTAGCGCCGCGAGTGGTAGAAATATTCATAACTTAAAGCTCGGGATTTTGATAACAGTTTTCTAGTAACTTTCGTATGGAGTTGGATCTCCTTATACAGTCTTCATGGTTACGAATCAAGCTTGTTTCGGGATGAATAATTCATGGCCGAAAACAGTTATAACAAAATTGGACGGGAATAAATCGAGAAAAAGCGCAACGGGTCCATTGTCATTTTCGATCGTACTTTCGAGATTTTCACGTGCATCCAGTTGTCGCTCTCGTGAGCGTGAGAAATTTAAACGTTCGCGAGAGAGGCAAGCTTCGCGAAAGAGATATTTACATAGAGTTGGGTTGGAGGAAAAATAGTAGAGAAATATTTAAGAAGAAGGAGTACACGTATTAGAAGAACACGAAGAAGATTAGAAGTACAAAACGAAGATAAAGCAACACCACGAACAAACGTTGGGCCAAAGAAAACAAAATTGTACGATTAACAATATGTGCGACAGTGTCTGTGTGTCCTTTTTTTATTTTCTTTCATTTCGTGTGGTCTGTGTGCGTGTGACTGGTTGCGTGTCCTCGTTTTTTTTTTTCGTTTTCTTTGCTGGTTTTTTTTTAATATGATACCTTGGCACTTCATGCCCTGGTGGATGACACCATAGAGAAGACTACCGCAGTGATCACAGAACGTAGGGCTGTTGTAGGTGTTTTGCTTGAAGTGATGTTTCGTCCGGGTGTCCTGCGTTATTACACCATTACACCGTGCACACACACGCAGACTCTCGGATTATGGCGCGAGGAATCGTGATTAGGATATCGTGGATGGAGGGTCCTGATCGCAAGGGACGAGTTTCCCCGATAGACGTGCGAAACGATCGATCAAAGTCGCGAATCGATCCGCTTGTAAACAAGGGCTGAAACTACTCGTCGAATAAAGTATACTCAAGAATTCAACGAGTAAAGTAATTATGTTTATGCGATTAAACGATTCCTATATTTGATTAGGTTGGCGCAAAAATATTTTTTTTTTTTTTTTTTTTTTTTTTAATAAAATGTACGTTAAGGAAAACACAAAATATTTATTATGAAATTTGTTGGACCAATCTAATATTCTAATTTCTATAGTTCATATTTCATATTTATACTGCTACTCGTTTCGATGGATACGGGACTTCATCAAATTATTAATTTTATTAATTGGTTCGCAATGCCTGTTTGTAATTACCAGAAACCTGATAATTCTAGGTTGTTTACGTAAATTAATCAAATTATCCCCTCGTGCGTGTTCGTAACTTTTTGGACAAATGGCGCGCGTTAAAGGTTGAAAGTTTGATCCGAGTTAGAGACGGATCGTGCCGGAAACAGACTCGATGACTGAAACCAAACGACCAAGTTTCGCGATTCGACGGGACGTGAAGCCACGAAACGAATCCCCGGTCCCATTAGGCTTTCAGAGGTAGCATCATCCGCTTTCAAAGTCTGCAAGTGCCAACTCGATTACTGTCCACTCCCCCTTCAGCTCGTTAGTTGCAACCGCTGCGTTGTGGGTAATTGAACGTGTCCGTCAACCGACACCCAAGCGCGCCAATTTTCGAAACCGGAGAACGGCAAAGCAGGGTGAAAAATAACACTGTAACTATGGAATGCAAAAGCTGTTTGCACCCCAACATAAACTCATTACTTTTGTTCTCCACTCTAACTGGAAATTTGATATAATCTATTTTCGACAATAGCAGTGGAACTTTTTCAGTCTGAACTCTCTAATATGAACTAGATTTACAGTGTGTGTAGAAAGTATTCGTACACTGATCAATTTCCAAAAAAACTATGTAACATTGTAATTGTTTAACTTATGTCGGAACTACTTTCAAAGATGTTTATTTTTCGACTCGAACAATCCATCTGACTCGTTCTTTTTCGGCGTCCGTACACGTATCCTCAAACACACACATTCTCACACCTATCACTCTGTACATTAGCCAATCATTCGTGCTTGTCACCTGTCTGAGTTTCTTCGGACTCACCCTGTATACTTATAAGTATATAATACTTCATTCGTGGGATTTCTTTTTGATTTTATAATTATTGCAACTCCTGTAAGCGTTAAATTAACTAAATTATTAGTTACTCGAAGTGGAATCTTCAATTCCCTCTATTAGAGCCATTTTTAATCTGTTTACGTTACAAACTCTACTCTAAATGATTCGTCATAAGAATCATACAAATACTTATTGCTTCTATACTTTTATCCACTTTTCGCATTTTTTTTTATATTAATTTCCCAAATTATATTAACTATTAAATGTTGTTTGGACTATATCTATCTTAGAGACTTCCGAGAATACGTAAAATATCCTTGATTACAAAAAAAAAGAAGTTAAGAAACTACAATTTCACAGAAAAGTTTTTTGGGAAATTGATCGATGTACGAATACATTCTACACCCACTGTATTTAAAAAGAAATGGTTAAACAAATTCTTGTTGAAATTGAGGTTATTATATTTATTATTTGTATGCTTTTGTGTCTTATCCGCCGCAAAATTGACTCGAGTTCAGCGTACAAATAGATGTTTTTCCAATGAAATTTCGCGGAATTAACCGGAATTGGAAGCGCCGTCAATGACCGAAGCTAAAACTAGTCGATTCGCGCCGTTATCGTGGAAATCGTAGCGATCAGAATGGCAGGGAACGCGGGGGTTCGTGGATACCGAGACAGAGTCATCTTCGAAGCACAGAAGCATAAGGAGATCAGCACCAAGGCCAAGGAAGATTAGGCTAGGACATTGATCGTTTTAGTCGGTATTCCCAGAGGTAAATAAAAACGAATTTCCTCCCGCGGTGATGTTGGTAGGAACGTTCGCGACTCGTCGAGTTTTCGATTGCAGACGTCGAGTGGCGCACTCGATCGGAAGAATTCGACCAATAGTTGATCGTCGCGCGAACACCACTCGTCGAGTCGAGAGCGTTGCTCCAGTTTGAACGATTTCGGCCAACGAATCGCCTCGTATTCGTCCGCATATAATTATTCCGTGGTGGAAGCGTGGTTAAACGAAGCGCAGAAAACGCTTAGGCCAATCGTGCGCGGTGCGAGAAAACGTGGAAAAATATATAGCTCTTAGCCCCGGGGGTCCTTTCCTCTGTTCGCTCCAGCCGAGGATTTTACTCGTCGTTTATCTCGTTACGCCCTTATTTCCAGGCTTTAACGACTCGTTAGCTCGTTACCTTCTCTTATTTCGTGTTTCGGGTTTCCTTGGTATTAACCTGTGTACCTGGCTGCACCGAATATCGCTTTTCCATCGTTAACGTAACGATATTTGATCGTGGAAACCGAGCGCGAAAATAAAATAGATTCGCGGCTCTGGTTGATTCGACGTCTCGTTGTTGGTTTGGAAAAGTCGTCTCGAATTTTGTTGAGAATTTTTATTTTATATCGGGAATAGTTGTAGAGTGTCAGTGTTTTTGCACATAATAGTAAACATTTTAAACTAGGAAAACAAATTTTTGTTATTTGATTTTAATAAGTTTTATCGGTGTTATCTTTGTCCCTTTCTTCACGACAAGTTGATATTGGATCATCCGAAGGCAAAAATATGGTTTTGTTGCTATCGTTCGAACTAGAATCAAACACCTCTGATCGATGAAAAACAAAATGCCGGGCAGTTGAATCTATTCGACACATTTTTTGAACTTTGGTCATTGGAAAATGTCCATTAAATATGTATACTTATAATGTGTATATATATATATATATATATATATATATATATATATATATATATGTATACTTATAATGTATATGTACATAATATATGTATATGTATATGTATACATAGAATGTATATGTATATGTACATATGTATATGTATACATAGATGTATACATACATATAATGTATATCAATGTATACTTATAATTCTAATCCTAGTTATTTTAATGAAAGAAATGATAAAGAATGAACAAAAACAATTTTATTTATTAGTTTAACATGCCTACTATGTATCGAACCACTGACATGAATTATTTGTTGTGTGAAATAAAAATTCTTAAACAAAATCTATTTGACTAGCTCCGATTTAATATTTCTGGTTCTGATGTTTACTCTTAGGTACAAAAAGGTTGCTCGTAGTTTAGCTAGTAATAAACCGACATCTAGTCGGTTGTCTCTATTCTAGACAAGCTGTTAAACAATCTAATATACAACGAGTGTTGATTTCATCTTCTGTTAACGGCGTCAATGTTCATATTTAGATCACTTGGTGATGTTACAATAGCGTCTTGCACAAATGCAAGTCTTGCGCATGAGCTAGTTACATGGACGTGTGTGTATTAATTTATATAGACGCTCGTATAATATACCGGGTGAACAACGTAACTTGATCGTCTTGATTATTTCCAATACTACTGGGCCGATTCAATTGAATTTCATTTTTAAGCTTCGTTATGTTTCCCAAAATGATTACATGCTTTCATAGCTAATTAAACTTGTAACTTTAATTCTTGTATCTGTAGATTCTCTAAAGATGACTCGAAAATAAAAAGTCGAGACGTTATAATAAATACGTTCTGTTAATATTCTTAAAATTTCTAAGATTCTCGAGATTAAACAAAATCTCCTTCGATGTTTAGGAATTCGAAATATTTCAAAATTATTTTTTAAATAATTCGATTGGCATATTGTTGGAAAGTTTTGAGAATAATCGAGGAGCGATCGGTGTAATGTACACGATATGACGGTGTACGTGTTAACCTTTTCGGTACGTGACGGCCGAATGCAAATGTTGCGCAATAATTTCGAACATATGTTTGATAGTTCAGTACTCTGAGTGAGTATAATTTGTTTTCAATCAAACAAACAAGTAGCTTAACATAGATAAGCCATTCAATTAGTTTTATCTTGAACAAATTTTAATATATTTATTTGTTCTCGAGTTTCGATAACGAACGTAGAATTCTTTGCTACTTTATCTTCACCGCTTTTAAATTAGAAATCGCCATAACGTTTTGAAGAAGTGTCCCGATTTTTCTGATGGCGAGTGTACTTGTGATTTCACCTTGTATCATTTCGAAGAACAGTTTCACAACTATTTCAAGTAATTATTTCGAATAATATCACTTCAACAGTGATGACAGGTACAAAAATAATATCGAACTAAAATAACATATTATTTGAAATAATGTTTCAAATAACGTTATTTCGTAAGCCCGGTCGACGATCGACCTGTCTTCGTTTTGTGGTTGTCGACCAAAGTCGACGATCGTACCGAAGAGGTTAATCGTGCCGATTCTAAAACCGTCGATAAATCGAAGATTCATCGAATCGATCCCGGTAACGTAAATAATATACTTGGTGGCGGGTTTGGTCGACGGAGAGTGGCCTCGATATCGATTCAGTCAGCGACCTTCCTTAACCATTTAACGCCTGTTCGCAGCAAGCTACCGATACTCTCCTCGTACGTGAATATACATATACCTTCCCAGTGCATATTTCATACGCGTGTTTAGCGCTCGCGTCGCTAATTAACGCGCATTTAGTCGACATCGCTCGCGAAGAAGGATGCTTTCTGCTGTCTCGCTCTAGGGCGACGTAACGCAATAATCACCAAGGAAACCCAACCGCTGGCAGCTGACAGTGTTGGACGAACTCTAATCGAACAAACGATTCACGATTAATGATCGACGACTGGCAATTAACACTTTAACGATCAGTAGCAGCTGGACACTTTAGGTGTAGAATTTAATTCTGTGCCTTTATCGTCAATCATTTATGACTCTAGCTTAAGTAAAAATGTTTAATCGTTATCTTGTTATTGTATTAGATGCAGACATTAATTGTACGCCTTTATATTTAATCATTTATAACTATAAATTCCAGTGTTCAAAATGGTAGATCCATGTCGAATCGGGCACTTCAAATTTTCAAATACCGATGTCAGATCGTTCAAGATCAATCCTTTGCGTAAAATGAAATTAAACAATTTCGCCATTTTGTCTCAGTCAACTGACTTTTAACCGCTTGCATCTTTTACGTCAACCTGTACAATGAATTCAATCGTCGATCATCGCGAGTGAATAATTTTAGTGTATTTAGCGTTAGTCTAGCGATCAATTAACGTCATTTACGATTAATTCCAACAATCAAATTCGAGATAAATATTCATAGCCATGTCGATAAAAATACTATACTGGATAGATCCGTCATACAATCTGCAACTACTAAATACATTTTCAATTGCATCGCAGGATCGATTAATTAGTCAAGTAAAAATAGCCAAGTAACCAACTCTGTCAGCCAGTTTTAATTTTTATCACCCAAAACCCGCTTCTAATTATTCACATACCGAACATTACACGAAAGAAGAAGGGATACGCGAGCTAATCGAGTCAAGTTCTTCCTTCCCGCGAATAAAATGGATATTAGAGAACGATGTCCTTGGCTTCGAACGAAAGAGTGAAAGGCGCGATAAAATTGCGCCGAGAAAGAAGAATAATAAACAAAAAGAATCGTGTGTAACGGTATATATATGTATATATATATATATATAGATATGTAAATATTGTACGTCGATACTCACATCCGAGTCGGCTCCTTTGTCAGCTCCAGGGCAAGTGAAGGTCACGTATTCGTGACATCGCTTGTGAACCACGAAGCTACAAACTGAAACACAAGCAAAACGTGGCCAAAGTTCTTTCGAGTGCTCGCTTTCGAGCTAAGTGGTCGTCGATCAGGTGGTCGATCTGTCTTACCTTGGCATTGGTATCCCTGTTTTCCGAAGCCCCTGAAACAAACATACACCGATTAATTCTCAGAAATAATCTGTACACGAATACTACAACTCACAACGAAAAGATGTCACGGAACATATTTTCAAACTTGTGTATTTACGACGTGAATTTAAAAAAATTTATTTATCCGTCTTATTTATCCATGTTGCAATTCGTGAGTTTGAATGAACGAAAGACGGATGTATTAGACGTAGAAATTAATTCCGTGCCTTTGCGTTCGATCATTTATAATTTATTTATTATCCTTAAATTAAGAAACGATTGAATGTATAGGCACAGAATTAATTCCTATACCTAATACTACACAGATCGACAATTTGATAGATAAAGTTTCGACAATGATTGCAATGGAAACATAAAAATTAGCTTCCCTT